TGTGTGTGTGTGCGCAAATTAACACTCAGCACACACCACGGCGTATTTGCTGAATGATTTAGATCAGTACGGAGATATCATAACACTTTCCCCCAGGTACTAGTGGATGTGTGCGTGACGTTTGCCTGTTTTCCTTCCTGGTAGGCTCCCTCTCGTACGTGCATACACACGACCTCGACGATACTCTCAGGCCGCACAGACAGGGATCACATAGCTGCTGCCAATCAGATTCACGCGTTTCTTTTTCCTACATATCAGAACTCGCGTATACCCATGAACAACCGCATCGTAGTCCCCGCAGTATGCGTAGTTTCTATCTGTTGTCTTCGACTGAGCAGAACGTACTCGCATTCACACACACTGCCTTTGTTTGTACTCTTAGGCCGGCGAAAGAGTGCATCGCACATATACCGAACTTTGCAACCTTCTATTATCTTAACTCGGTGCTTGTACCTCGATTCCGCCCTATGCAGAGACTGTAGAATATATATAAAGCAAAACTAAGATGGACGATGATTGGCTAGATAGTTGGGATGGACCGGATATCCCGGACATCGACGACGACGAAGAAGACAGTGTATTTAACGAAGAGGTGTGTACTCCCCTTCAACCACACCTAATAGAATGTGAGGCTTCCAACATAATACAATCACATGTATCTTCGGCGCACTCACATGTTCGTATAAATATGTCTATAAATATATATGTGTGTGCTTATGTATGTTTGTGTGTGTGCGTGTGCGTGTGTGTGAGAGTGGTTGTGTGTGTGCGCGCGGGTGTGTGCGTGTGTATGCACGTGTAAATGTAGGTGTGGGTATATATATATATATATATGTATGTATGCATGTATGTATGTATATATATGTATGTATGTGTACATATATATATATGTGTGTGTGTGTATGTACGTATGTATATATGTGTATGTATATGTATATATATATATATACATATATATATATATATATATAGATATAGATATAGATTTATATAGAACATGTAGATATTTATATCCATATTTTAATATTTTAGTGTTTGTATGTTCATTCATACATTTGAGTTAGGGC